TCTCTCTCTCTCTCGTGTGTGTGTGTGTGTGTGTGTGTGTACACATGCATGATACTGTGTACATGTGGAGATAAGAGGACAACTTTTAGAACTTTTCTAGAACTTTTCTCTCTTCTACCATGTAAGTCCCAAGGATCAAATTCAGGTTATCAGGATTGGCAGCAAGCACTTCACCTGATGAGCCATCTAACTGGCCCTCCTAGTTCTTAAACTGTAGACTAGGAAAAGATCTTATTTATCTCATCACTCACATAATGCAAGACAAAACAAAATGCTATCTTAAAGCTATACATAAGACACAGTGGCTCACACCTGCAATCCCAGCACTCAAGAGGATTGCTGTGAGTTCAAGGCCACCCTAGACCACATAAAGGGTGCCAGACCAGCCTGGGCTACAGAGTAACACCTTGTCTCAAAACAAAACAAAGTAACTATAGATGAGGGGACTGGGAATACAGCTCAGTGGAGGAGGCCTGGATTTAATCCCCAGCACCTGAATAAATTGATTAAATATTTAAAATAAATAAGTAAAGTTGTGGATGAATGATTAGTCTCTCCTTATCTTTCAACAAATCCTTTTCCACATGAAAGTCCTTCTAAAATATAAAACATTCATGTCCACTCAGTTAACTTTCAGTTCATTCAAGTACTCTTACACAAACTGACCACATCAATAGATCCATTATTGAGACCATACATGGTTTTGAGCATTTAAAAAAAAAAAAAAGCCAGGCGTGGTGGTGCACGCCTTTAATCCCAGCACTTGGGAGGCAGAGGCAGGCGGATCTTTGTGAGTTCAAGGCCAGCCTGGTCTACATAGTGAGTTCCAGGACATCTGGGGCTACAGGGAGACCCTGTCTCAAAAAAAAAAAAAACTTAGGTTTTTTAGTACACAAAAGAAATGTGGCCATATTTCAAAACTTCAAAATGTCTATGTCTATTTTATAAAGAATTACTGTCATGGAATGATTTCCTAGCCATGCATGCTTGGGTTTGTATTCTATGTCTTGCCAAAATGCACCTCTTCCCATGTCATGGCAAAGTTAGGAAGATTGGGGATGTGATGCCCTTGTATAGGATCTGTTCATATCATTTCATCAGTGAGATGGGCTCATATTGTGTCAACTCCAAGACTTAGCTCTGGTCTTCTCCCTTCCTGAGTCTTGGTTGCTAAACATGTTCTTTAGTTGGAGACACCCTTGACCTTTCAAATAAAGTCCACTTTAAGATATCCAGAATTAGATTCTGTTGTTTGTGACTAAAAGAAACAGCTAAAAAAAAAGGACTTTTTTTGGTAAAAATATCAATCTACATTAATTACTTTGTTATCTACTGTAAACAAAAATGGTACAGTAAGGCATACTGAGTAGAGTTCTGTTTCAAGAAAAAAAACCCCTGGGGCTGGAGAGATGGCTCAGTCAGTGGCTAAGAACACTGGCTGTTCTTGCAGAAGACCTGGGTTCGAATCCCAGCACCCACATGACAGCTAACAACTGTCCACAGTTTGAGTTCCAGGGGAGCCAACAGCCTCTTCTGTCCTCTGCCAGCATTGCATGACACGGGCACACTTACCTACACCCAGGCAATACCTGCATGTAAATAAATAA